CAGGACACAGATCACAGCATCACCACCCGTCACAGGACACCAATCACAGCATCACCACCCGTCACAGGGCACCGATCACACCCTCACCACCCGTCACAGGACACCGATCACACCCTCACCACCCGTCACAGGACACCAATCACAGCATCACCACCCATCACAGGACACAGATCACAGCATCACCACCCGTCACAGCCCAGGACACGGATCACAGCATCACCACCTGTCACAGGACACCGATCACACCCTCACCACCCTGTCACAGCCAGGATGTCCACCTATCGTGTCCTACCTGGAGAAGGATGGCCTTAGCTCACCTTGGTTCCCGTCAGAAATGGCAGCGTGACTGTACCTTTCCTGTTACCTACTCATCATGGTCCCTGATAGACCCTGTCTACTCCTTCCTGCGCCAAGCCTGGATTACCAGCACTCGGCTCTTGGACCCGCCTCCCTCCTGCTGTGTCTCTGTCTGCTCAGAAATGCTGTTCCCAGCTGAGCGTCACGCAGCCTGAGCTCTGTCCCTTGCAGCCCCATATCACAGAAAAGAAAGCTGACTCAGAGGTCAGAGATCTCAGACAGGAAGGAGCAGTGCTGATCCCATCACCACCGGGGCCTTTGTCCTCAGCTCAGGCAGCAATGTCCACCCAAGTGGCCAGGAGATTGGGAGGCTGACTTGCAGCTGGGATGCCCCTACAGTCTCCCCTTAGGCCCTGAGGGTCCCCCACCTACTTCCTGATGGTATGAGGGTCCTGGTCCAGTCGTCCCATGCACTGGAGAGCAGCTGCGTAAGACAGGAGGTCAGGGGTCAGGCCGGCATCCTTCAGCATGTAGAACACATACACCAACTCCTTGAAGGACCCCTGGAGATACAAATCAGGTGAGGAAGACCCAGGCACATGCTCCAGACCCCATTCTGCATGTAAGTCCACAGCTGGCCACAAAACGACCCCACACAGGAAAACAGCGGGTGCGTTACAGGGAAGCATCCACATTTCCGAGCTTCGGGTAACCGTGCCCCTGGCTCACACGTGTTCCTTATCTGCATTCCTTACGTGTCGGCAGAGACCACACTTCCTGGGTTTTACGCCCCGCACTTGCCCAGATAATCACGTCCTGGGTTCTGCCCTCCCTCCAGCCACACATCCAACCCTGACGCTGTGGCCTGTGGTCACCTGTGCACCTCGCTTACACGCAGACTCTAACGCCTGTGTGAGCGAGCCAGCGCCACTGCTGTCCCCTGCACGTCCCCTGCATGTCGCCCCACGTGTGGCCATTCTCCAGTCATGCTTTCCCACGAGCTCCTGCACCGCTGAGGACTACCGCGTCACAAACTACCAGACGCAGGTTCACAGACCCCCACGTTGCTTTTCGGGCCTGGACTGACCTGTTTTCTACTTTCTGAAGGTGGTGTCAGTGACTTGAGGTCTTTAACATGGGCATTTGCTGCTGTTAGGAGTTGGCTTTAACTCACAGCTGTGAACAGCAGATCTGAACCTACCCTGTCCTGACCACCCTCACCATCGGATGTCCCGGGTCCAATGGCACACGTCCATCTTGTTGGGGGTCTTCCTCTCTTTCTCTGACTCTCCACCTTCCCCGCATGCTATCTTTTGACAGGGACTAGACGCTCCTGACAACAGGCCCACTGTGAGTGAGCCAGAGCTCCGTTATCTGTGACTTGACGTCACCTTCTCTACAGAGCACTCGGGCTGCACTTCCTCCGACATTGACTTGTTCGCTCTCCTGGCCCCCTGGCCCCCCATGGATGCTCAGTGCTCTTCTCCAACAACGCAGCTCAAAGACATCGATTCTTCTTCTGTCACCCGTACTCACTGTCCAACTCTCAGATGCAAAGGAAGTAACTGAAAACAACTTGCATCAGGCACACCTTAGTCTTTTTTAATTGAATATGCAGCTCTTATTCTGGACTGTTGTCATACAAATGAAACCTACAATGTATTCCTTTGACTCGCAGTTGGCTTCTTGTGTCTTGATGGCGATGGCGGTCATGTAAGGAAAGCTTTTTGGGTTCTGCCAAATTTACTGATTTTAGAATGAATGTTAAGCGCTACAGCAATTGATTGTCTATTTGCTGTACTGAACACCTTGGAGTTGCTGTGATACTGAACACTGTGCCTTAGTTGTGTTAAATACCATAATGGTCACCCATCATGTACAATGTTTGGAGGAGCTTCCAGACTGATTCAGGTTGGGAAGCAGGAGTGGCATCCACTTCCTAAACTAGATGCCTCTGGAAATGATAAACTCTAAAAACATGCAGAAAGTATGTTAATTATAGAACCGAGTTTACGTCTTCTGTGCAAGGGTCATGAAGAGTTGTATTCGACTTGATGACATTTAACCACCACTAAGAGACAGAAGAGGAAAAAAAGACCAAAATGGATGTCAGAAGAAACTCTGAAGATTACACTGGAGCGCAGAGAAGCCAAAGCACAAGGAAGAATTCAAGATACTAAAGAGCTGAACAGAAGATTCCAAAAGGCTGCTCGGAATGACAAAGC